CCAGAGTTGGCCAAAAATGTAATCGATTACATTTTTTGATTACAGTAATCAATTACTTGTAATCATGATTACAATTTTCAAAAATTTTGATTACAGCTGTAATCATGATTACAATATTGATTACAGTAATCAATTACTTGTAATCTGTATTACAAAGTTTGATTACAGCTGTAATCATGATTACATAGTCGATTACAGTAATCGACTATGTAATCATGATTACAGCTGTAATCAAACTTTGTAATCACGATTACAAGTAATTGATTACTCTAATCAATATTGTAATCATGATTACAGCTGTAATCAAAATTTTTGAAAATTGTAATCATGATTACAAGTAATTGATTACTGTAATCAAAAAATGTAATCGATTACATTTTTGGCCAACTCTGGAGCGGAGGTTCCCGCATGGTGTTCTGCGGAACTTTAGGTTTCCGTAGAAGAGGGAAAGGGGTTCCGTGAATTAGCATTTTTTTTATAACCAGTGATAAGTTTTGAAATCTCTGACTAAAGTATTTAGATCCTATAGTTCATATATTATTTAATCTTACGGTTTCCTTTATGAAATTAGTTAAAGTAAAATACCAATGAAATAGAAATGGCATATTTTAAAGGAAAATATATGACAATGTATTGAACAAATTATGAAAAAACAATCATCTGTAAAATATTCCATTAGTATTTCCTATCGCGCTTTTCAAATCTAAATAGCTAAATTCTTTAATAAACCGGATGCGTAGTGTTTTTAAAAAGTGCTTAAAGGTGTTTATTTTCAACTTTCATAATTTAAAAACCCTTTAAAGGTGCTTTTTTCATTTTTTAAAAGTGCTTAATTTTCCCTTTTCGAAAATGAGATTTTTTTTCTTTACCATGTCGATTTTTGCCAATTACTATGCAAAAGCGTGGTTTTCACATTGTTCTATTCAAAGTTTTCACAATTCATTCAACCGCAATGCATTTCGACTTACCTTTGGTCCGTAGCGTATGAAAGCACCAATCATATGGCATGTTTGATGAAATACTTAGTCCGCATGTGCAACTCTGCTGCATTTTGCAAGCTATTCTCAAGTTCAGGCTTCATTTTTCACCCTCTGACATCGAACCGAAAAACCTCTCTATCTTTTTATAATGGCTAATATAATCAAGAAAAGAGCTCTTTGTCAGAAACTAGTTATTTTATCATGATAACGTAAAGTCTTTAAAAATTATTTTGCATTTTGTTGATGTATATAGTGCTTAAAAATGTTTTTTGAGTGCTTAAAAGGTGCTTATTTTTTGTTGTAAAATTTGGCTACGCACCCTGATAAAGAAATCTGTTTTCATAATAACCATTTTCAACGTTTATAGCAGTTCTTTTAAGTTTTCATTTCGAAGTAAACCATAATTCGGCTTATTTTAATCCTTTTTAGCTTACGTATCTCCACCAGAAACAAATTCATAACTAGACTAGATATAGCACAAGGACTTTAAGTTTTGAAGTCGGACATAAAACCTACTTTAAGAATATTAATGATAAAACGAAACCAATTTTCATTTCTCTAAACATTTTGAATTTAGTCTCTTATAGGTTATAACGATTACAATTACCTTCTATCAACTTTATTTATAAAGTTGTAGTTCCGTCGAAAGAAGGTTAAGCATTTAGGGTTCCGTAGGCGAAAAAAATTGGGAACCTATGTTCTACGAGTGACATTAAAACTGGAGTAGCAATATTTATTTCATATTCAGATCTACCAACAAAAATAAATAATTAAAAAAAAAAACAGATGATTTTTTTTTTCTTCTCAAAATCTTAAAAGTTTATGTTGTAATATTTGATTTTGTTCTGTTAGTTTTTTTCCCCTCTATTTCCTTCAAAATAAAATCCTGGTTACGAAACTGTCGGTTATGAAAAGAGAACGTTGAACACCTAAAATAGTTTTTACAAATTATTTTGTGGTGCAGTTGACATTCTTACGTACAAAGACACTTGTTGATTTCATGATGAACTATGTCTTCCGGATAGTAGAAACTGAGCGTAGACAGATGTGAAAAAGATTAATTTTTTTTTAACAGACACCACGCAAAGTAGGATAGATCATCAAGATGGGATAAGAAAAAAAATACAGTTTACTAGTGGGGGAAACCTCGTAAAAGTGTCGCTCTTTCAGCGTCAACACTTAAAACTGTCTTTCGGTGGCCTTTTTTTAAATCTCCAAATCGTCGCCAACTGTTAAGATTCATCACTTTTAACGAATCCCTTTCCACAAAGTAGTGACAGTAGCTCATCTTGGTGGTTTTCTTGCAGGCAGAAGGCGTCACTGACAGAACAATTTCTAAGATTTCACATTTGGAGTTGCTGTCTTCTTTAGGGAAAGAGTGACAGCCCCGACAAGTGGAATTGTTCTAATTTCACGTCGGTTTAGATTTTCAGTAGTTGTTTTTTTATATACATAAATTCATTAGTAACTTAGATTGAATGACTTTTTCAAATTCGATACATTTTTATTGGTGCTGAGTGATGTTTATTCCAGAAAAATGTCGAAGTTACGGACTATACGCTGCTTTTATCTTTGTGATAATCTTCTGTCTTGTAGATTCAAGAGGACATCTTGTTCAGGATGTCAGTAAGTGAAAATTATTTTTGTAGTTTTAGCAATGTTAATTAATTTGCTTACTAAGTATAAGGTTTTATTTTCATGAACGTAGTAATATTTTTTTCCTCTTTTCAATCAATAATTCACATAAAATTAATTGATTCAAAGAATTTGTGGATTTAAAGTGCGTTTATTATCTCAATAGAATAAATAGCTAAATCTAGTTTAAACTAAAACTAGAGCTTATTACCAAAACACATTACAACGGAAATCTGTATTTTCAAACTTAAGTTGAAACTAGAGTTAATCAACATTTAATTTTACCAAAACATCACAACGGAAACCTTTATGACCCAATTGCTATAAATTAAAACTAGAGCTAATGAGCTTGTAATTTTACCGAGAAATTACAACGGAAACCTTTATAGTCCAACTACTAAGTTAAAACTAGAGCTAATCAGCTTGTAATTTTATCGAAAAATTACAACTGAAACCTTTATGACCCAACTGCTATAAGTTAAAACTAGAGCTAATTAACATTTAATTTTGCCAAAACATTACAACGGAAACCTTTATGACCCACAACTGCTATAAGCTAAAACTAGAGCTGATAAGCATTTAATTTAAACAAAACATTACAGCGGAAACCTTTATGACCCAACTGTTATAAGTTGAAACTAGAGATAATTAGCCTGTAACTTTACCAAAAAGTTACAACGGAAACCTTTATGCTCCAACTACTATAAGTTAACACTAGAGCTGATAAGCATTTAATTTTACAAAAAAAATTACGACCGTAAAATTTAGGGTCCAAGTGATTTAAGTTAAAACTTGAGTATAAAGTAGTCGAACAATAAAGGTTTCAGTTTTAAAGTTTTGGTAAAATTAAATTTTGGTGGAATTCGTTGCATACTTTCAGTTTATTGTTCTCACCGAAATTCACATCAGGCAATCAGAAACTTCAAGATTAAGATCCAAATTTAAATGTTAGGATTACAAAACTCAACTTATTTAAATGTTTTTCTCTAACTTTAAATTTTCTCTTTCTTCAACAAGGATAAATTTTCTCTTTCTTGAACAACATCATGATAAATTTCTAATAAATTCAATCAAAATTTAATATCTCTTAAAATTTGTATACATATTCTTAGCTATTGTATTAAATTCTTAGCTTTACTATTATATCCAATATGGTTCAAATAGTTTCAGCAGAAGAGCGTTCAAAAATTATTCCCCTTATTCCGTCACATATTCTGTATTTCAAAGTCGATTTTTTTTTTCAAATCAAGTTAATTATTTTTAAAATTTAGATAATCGTTCATGTCAATACGTTAAAAAATTGTTCTTACATAAAGTTATAATCTAAATATTTATTTCTTTTACGTGGCACCGAAAACAAGAGTATTTTTCTGGCTAAATTGGCAACACTATCAATGTTATCTACAATTATTCATTTTGTTAGATTGTCTTAAGTAACAATTTGAGTAGGTTATTATGTAAATGATGCGCGTGTTACTATGAATGACCGAAATTGGTGGTTGTTGACTTTCACCGGTGAATGTTGACAATCAAATTAGTCGCTTTGGTGAATGTCCGAAATATTTATTACATCCGATTTGATATTAATTTATTCGTGGATATAATTACATTTATTCGATATTTTAATACTTACTGACGATAGATTAGAACAAACATCAGTGTTTGGAGTATCGGGCAAAT